CACCGATCTAACTTGTGGAAAACATCACTTTACTGCGTGAGTTTGTTGTCCCAAGAATCCGAGCCCCTTCCAACATGTTAGAGATAATACCGCACAGGTTTTTGACGTTTGTCAATTCTGACAGTTATGCCAAAAACTAACGGTGGTAGAAAAAGTACAATATGCAACAGGTTTCGTAAACTTTTTAATGCCGTTTAACGGCACTTGTTGCTTAATATTCTATTAAAGAGTAACCATAATAAGACTCCCCCATATCCCAAAAATGAAACTTTTTGAAAGCTTTGTATTTTGACCACAAAAGTGCTTCAAACACGTCTAATAGTATATTATGCAACAAGTGCGGTAAACGGAATTTGACTCAGGAGTCTATTTGATACGGAGCGCAGAGAAGCGTCACTTTACCACGCCAGTTTCGTTTCCGACGAATCCGAGCCACTTCGGACATTTCCGAGATTTTACCGCACAGATTTGGGAGCAATCGGATGTTTTCGGAGATATTTCCCACGCTTTGAATTTTGACGTTTGTCAATTCTGACGGCTATGTCAGTGAATGTATTCATTTTGTTTTGCGAAAATGGACCCAAAAACTAACGGTCGTAGAAAAAGTATAGTAGTATGCAACACGTTTGGTAAACTTTTTAACTCACTCATTTATTAAAAACTCGCTCCGTTGCGCTTCGCTCGTGTCAAATAAACTCGTGAGTCAAATGCCGTTTACCGCACTTGCTGCATAATATACTATTACTGACATGAACGTCGGAATTGACAAATGTCAAAATTCAACCCGTGCGGTAAATTCTCCGAAAACATTCGATTGCTCCCAAACCCATGTGGGAGCAATTTATGTGTCGGAAATGTCCGAGGTGGCTCGGATCCGTGGCACAAGAAACGCACATGGTAAAGTGATGCTTTCTGCACGCTAGATCGGTGTATAATTAGGTATTTTGCAGACATGTTGACTCTAAAGCTGTCAAAAAATGGTGATATGTTTTAATGATTTGCAGTGCGACAAATACTTCATTTTTAATTATCCAAATAATGACGCTATTTCTGTAAGTTGACTGAAAAAAATAACAACATGGTATTTCTTTAGAAACGGAACTATAGAGACTATTTCGCAACATGACGTTTTAATGGATAATAATGTGTTCAAAGCACGTACAAGGAGTACTGTAGAAACGTACAAGGAGTACTGTAGAAAAAATATACAACGTGAGCGCGAAATTGCGTTTCGCGCCCTAGTTGTTCAAGGAACTAGTTCCTATTTCCCACACAGATCAAGCGTGAGTAAAGTTTCCAGTATTTTGGAATTTGGGAGCCTGCAAAAATGTAGGCCAAAACTAATGGTTATAGAAAACGCATAGTATGCCAACATGTTAACAAACTTCGTCAGTTGTTCATTAATCACTCTCTTCACTGTACTCCACTCGTGTCAATTCAAACTCCTGATGACGTCGGTAATTAGAAAAATGTTACTATAGAAAATCTTGTTGGCTTTTCTTATTATTTTTTTAAGTTATTATTTTGTTAAGTTTTTCCCGACTTTGAATTATATTGCTGTCTTACACTGCTAGTACGTAAAAGTAAGCGATGTTCTGATTTTCTCTTTAAGATTGAGTTGTTGGACTCCGCACTTTGTACGTCTTGAGTTGAATCAAAGTAATTGAAATTCAATCGATTATGATTACTGGTGAACTAGCAACAACCCCAACTGTCTCCAGGAAGGCATTTTAGAAGTGTTTGCTGGAGCTTTGACAAGTTTCGCAACCAAATAATTTGTGCAAACCTTTTTGACATGGTGAAACACCTCCCAACTCTTTTTTACCCAGGTGATACCGCCGTCACCAAGTGTCACCTAGTATCATTGAAGAGTGCATCACTTACGAGTTTGGACGAAGAACGGCTCTTCTGGAATTGTTGATATTCTGTCCCCGTGTGTAACTTTAAAATAAAAGTGAAGTGGACTCAGCTAGACATCGAGTAAGTAAGAAATAGCATTCGCAAAGTGTCGGTTATCAAAAGTGGTCATTATCGAAAATACCTTTCATCAGACTGTCCCAAGTCGTGATTCTTTTTATTACCTTGCTAACTGCCGGGCATAAAACACAACTATTATTGTAGCGGGCGATTTATGACGCTTTTAACGCGTAGTAACCTTTTGTCGGGAACATATTAAAATAATTTAAAGCAAATAATGCTGCGCGTTCCGAACGGTGAATTATTGCATGCAAAGGTAACCTAATAAATAATAAACGGAACGGGAGATAAAACGTCCGGCATGAGAAGCGACTTTAAATTTTCCTCGTTTTCCGTAATTATTTATCCCGTAAAGGGATAGGTATCTGCATTGTCGTCATTTCGTTGTATTTACCGAGAAATTATTACCTCCCAGTGAAAATGTGTTCAATACAATGCGTGTTTTCTCGAAATGGCTGTGATTCTGACACCGTTAGACCATATTTTCTATTTCGATGGTTTTATCCGTGTATGTTTTATTCGACGGAGTTGGAAAAACCGACAGCTAACATAAACGAAGACCCGTGGAAATTATGAATGGAAATTCCACTGGTATTCCCACTTTTTTAATAACACTGCGTGACCCACAAACATAAGACTATAATGAAAAACATATTTTGTTGCTATAGGCTTCCTCTCGAAATATCCTTAAGAAATATTATTTACATAGGATGCTGTCATTTTTTTTAAAACGCTTAAATATTTCGAAAATTGCCAAAGCTGGGACGATAATAGTATATTGTCCAACATGTGTGGTAAACACATTCACTGACTCCTGTCAGACGTCAAACGTCATAATTCAAGCCTTGCGGTAAAATCTCCGAAAACATCCGATTGCTCCCAAACCCGTGCGGCAATATCCCGGAAATGTCCTAAATGGCTAGGATCCGTTATACTAAAAACTCCCGTAGTAAAGTGACGCTTCCCGCACGCTAGATCGGTGTATAATTAGGTACTTTACAGAAGGGAGTAGAAAAAATTCAATACCTGTGAGTTTTTGAACATGCAGAATTCAAAAATGCTAGCAGCAGTAACTTTTCAATGATACACTTCTGAAGTTTGTTACGGTTGGTACTTTTTACTGAAAAAGCTTTGTTGATGTAGCTCAGTAATTAATAAAAACGAAATTTTTAAAAAATTCGGCATGCGCAATTTACTGCAAAAAAAAATACTTAGGTCATTCCATTTAAAATAACAAAATTATGACGCTGTTAGCATTGTTGCATTTTACATGTTCAAAAACTCCCAGGTATTGAATTTTATCGTTCCAGCTCTGGCAGTTCCGGCACTTTTTACTAATCCGGTATATAGTTCGGACCAAATAAACTAATACACACTAATAAAAATATTAGGTTTGTCAAGGACCGGAGTCAGGCCATACTAAAATAGATATTCCAATAGACACGCACTAATAATGACACACTAAAAAAATAATCACAGAATTCATCATGCAACAAGTTTGGTAAATGACAGTTGAGTCGCGAGTTTGGCTCGAGCGGAGCGCAGCGGTAGTAGAATAATTCTTTAATAACCGTAAAAATGTTCGTTAGACGATCCTAATTTGTAGTCACTTCCAGAAAATTGAATTAAACACAAGAACCTACTAATATCTATCTAGTAACTTTAAGTTTGCATATTGGCTGTAATCATGCAATAAGTTTGATAAATACCACTTGAAGAAGGTTATCCACGTGCATATGATCATTATTGCATATGATTTTTTCTACAACGACTAGTTTTTGAGTGATCATGAGAACCATGTCATCCACGGCTAAAATGTACCGAAAATATTCGATCGCTTCGCAACGCGACTCACGTATCGGATAGGTCCGAAGTGGGTCGCGAATATGGCTAACGTTTGATCGATGTATAATTAGGTATGTTCGAGTAGGGAATCAAAACCTTGTAAAAGATAATGGTCCGAAGTATACCACCATTTAAAAGGGGTCATGGTTTTTCTGCTGGATAATTAATTTCGGAATTTTAAGAGGGATCTAACTACGAAAATTATGTTTCCCGTAAAATTTTTATGCCAATAACGTTAATTGTTGTTAATTCGGAGCCAGTATTACTGTGTTTTAGAAAACTTTCTATCTAATTATTATACACAATCGTCGAGAACGCAACATCTCATATTTGATGTTATTCTAAACGATTGGAATTATTCTAAAGATATAATTTAATGTATTAACCTCTAAAACTAACCAAAACCATGACTCCTATTGATTAAATTAATTCCTGAAGTGAATGATTGCCGTTCTCAGAATACATTTTAATTTCTTTTACATTTACATTACATACATTTAAATGTTTTATGTCTAGCTGGTTTTGCCAATAGGTAAAAAGGTACTATTTTATTATTCACTTCAATATACTTATAAACCCGGTTACTAGCTATAAAACTGATTCTTAACAAAAGAAGTTCTCTTTAGTTTTATTTATTCATAAAATTTCTAAAATTTATTTATTTATAAAAGACATACAAAGACGTCAACTCAGATACGCACACGCATCGATTTCTGTCTGTGTGCATTTGAATTGAAGTCCTTCTATGTCTGATGATGCCCGTGTGGGCGCAACCCGTGTAATATTTTATAAATATTAATTTTGAAGACATCGATTTCGGAGTTTAATTGAATCCTTATAGTTTTGTGAAACCAGGTGTCTTTGAATATTTAAAAAAGTATTGTGTAAAATAGGATCGGTGCATTTGACTTTGTCTAGTGGGAATCTTAAAACGTACATATCTATAATTTGTGCCAAGTTAAACGCTTAAATATTAACCGACCTTGTTGATTTTAATTTAGTAAATAAATAAATTAGTATTGAAAAAAAATGTTCGTAGCACTTTTCCAGATATCTTTCACAAATTTTGAAGTATCATCGAAAACAATCCATTTAAAGCCAATCCTGTGTGATAAATATTTATCAATCGTGTAGAAGAATCTTTGGTGCGGCGAAAATTTATTTCTAAGTCTACTCACTTTTTTGAAAATCCTGCACCGCAAGTGGAACATAAAAACGCTTTCTCTGCCCGCGAATGTCTGGTGACGACCTTCCTGGTCCTTTTCTTATGGTTTTTCACATGGAACAGCAGATTATTTCTTCTGCCAAAGGACGCGTTGCAGAGTTTGCACACGTATGGTCGTTCCTGTGTGTGTTGCCGGAGGTGCGCGTGCAGCGAAGATTTGGGAAAAATCTTTTCGCAAACGGGGCACTTGTATCGCGGTATCGCCCGAATGTGAATTTCATTTCCATCCGAATCTAGTGGATAGATAATAATAGGGTCCGAGTGCAAAGCGATGTGAAATAGCAACTCGGAAGTAGAATTTGAAGAAAACGGACACTTTTCGCAACGATAACAGTTTTCTTCCGTGCTTGTCTCTTCGAAATTGCACGACTTGGAGCGCAGATGATTTGTGAGTTCTTGGGTTACTGTAAAACTTGCTCCACAATGAGGACACCTTAAAGGGCATAAGTAAATAATAACAAATACGAGTGCGTTCTTTAGACTCACCTTATTTTGTGTTCTGGATGTTCTCGCTGCAGATGCTCCTTCAACAGAAGGAAATTTGAGAAGTATTCGTCGCAATACTTACACATCCGTCTCAAACTGGAACCTTCCGGTTTTTTCTTCTCCATACTTGCGTATCGGTGCTTTAGCGACTTCCTGTGCTCTTTAGCGTCGGATGCTTTTTCGAATCTCAAGTTACAGGTGCTGCAGAAAAAGTACGATTGCCTGTGTACAGTTTTTCGATGTCTTTGTAGTGCGATGGGAGTTTTGAATACTAAATCACAATCTTTGCACCGACCGTAAGTTTTTCGAAAAACATCGACGTTGGTTTCGTCATGTCCGTATTTTCTACAATGGTTCAATAATTGGATATTAAGGGTGAATTTTTGGCCGCATGTAAGACATGTCATTTCTCGAATTTTCTTGATAGTGATCGGTACCGATTTGTTGATAACCGAAACTACTTCCAAGTGCTCCTCAGAATTCAAGTGATCAAACATAATTTCCGAAGTATCTGAACAATGCTTGCAAAAAGTGCAAAAGAAGTAGCCCAAATATTTTGTGTCATTGATTTGATGTAACTCAGATCGCCAGTGATTCAGAAAATCAGCGTGTGTGTTGCAGTAGAATTTACAAACGCAACATTGAAATGGACTTTCCAGTACTATCCCATAAATGTTCTCTAGTACCATAGTTTTCGCAACGTCGGTAGCGATGTCTCCCTTTCGACAGTGGTAGTGGGAGATCAAGTGTTTTCCCATTAGATATTTGTTTACTTTGGAATGACATACGGTGCATACTTCAAATATCTTCTTCCGTTTGCGTTTTCTCTGTGGCGCGGCTTTCGCGTTTTGATTTGATACCACAGAAGGCTCTTTGATCTTCTTTGTTTTGATAAAAGCGCCTTCGTCAAACTCACCATCGGGCCTAGTTCTTTTGTAATGTAACGCGGACTTTAAATGACGTTCGTACACAATTTTAGATGCCAATCGCCTATTACAAGGACTGCACCAATACTGGACTGTACCTGACGATATTCTAAATGGTGACTCGTCCGTTATTTTAAACGCTTTAAATTGGTGAGGGGAGATCCAATCAGCAAAATCGTCTTCAGGTGACTTCTTAGAAGTAGAAGGTTTACCTAAGTCTATCTTGCTATTCTTAGTCGGCGAGTCATTTTGTTGACATCTTCCTTTTTTACGTCTTGTGTCTTCTGGTTCCGATTTTTTTTTAATCCTAGTCCGTGGGTCCGATTTGAATTTCAATTTCTCCGGATTTTTGGGCGAATGAACTATATTTGAAGAACTTTCCGATTCGGATCTAGGCTTCCATTTACCTAAAAGGGCCTCGAATTATGCCTACCTATTAAACATAAAAATGTATTACCTTTTGTGTAAGATGATGGTGGATGCATCTCAGTCTTTTCTTTCCAGTTACCTAAAACAGGGATGTTTAGTTGAACTATTGAATTCATATAGACAAACAACCTTTTGATTGACTGGATCCTGTGATATCGTCGTCGGTTGTTCTTGGTTTCCACTTTCCTAGAGAAATCATTACTTTTTACATTTTTTTAGTTGGGTGTTAATGTTCATACCCTTTGTATGCGTTGGTGGCGGTATCCCTTCATCTGATTCACATTGCGGCTTCCATTTACCTAAAATATCGTCTAGTTCATCGCGGTAACATTTTTAACGACTTGCAAACCTTTGGTGTGGCCAAGTAGTGAAGAATCTTCTTCTAGATCACCCTTAGGTTTCCATTTTCCTTTAGTATGCCGGGGGGGTGGTACGTCATCTTGTTTTTTAAAGGCTACCCACTTACTTCCAGTAAACGAAGCCGGTGGAACGCTATCGAATTCTGTAGGTTTCCATTTGCCTTTGGTGTAAGATGGAGGCGGAGATGTGTGTGATTTGGATGGATTTGGTTTCCACTTTCCTCCTGAGTATATTATTGAAAAAATATTGGAATGGTATTGCAATGGTAAAACGTAACTAAACATACCTGTAAATGTAGGAGGAGGCATATTCCAATCCCTTGTCTCTCTAGACCACTGAATGGGAGATGTTGGTTTCCACTTTCCGCCAGTATGATTCCTAGGAGGTATGTCTTCATCTTCGGAAGTCTCTTGGTCTTCATAATCATACTCGTCGGAGTCTTCATCAGAGTCTGCGTAGACTCCTATACGTGGTGGGTCATCTTTTCTTCGCTCCAAATCCGCAACCGCTTTGATAAGTTTGGATTGATTATCTCCTGAACCTAGTTCTTTTAGTTGGTGACCTCCGATCCATACATTTTTACCCGATTTCGACTGAGGAGTTTCTTGCTGGTCTTTGGATGTCGTTGCTTGGATTACGGCAGTTGTTTTGCTACGAGTCAAAATTCCACCAATGTGTTTGCCTAAAGATACTTCGATAAAACATAGAGTACACTTAAAGACACCGTTTTACCGGAAGTGGATTGCTGTTCTGGTTTCTTCAAGCTGCTTCTGAGCTCGAGAGAAGAAAAAAAGTCGTCAGCTTTTAGACCTATTTCATCTGGAGGTAAAAGCTGGCTAGGCAACGGTGATTTAGGTGGGTAATTGGAAGTTTTGCTGCATCCGGATTTGCGGTGACTGATGTAATTGTCGAGTCCAAGAATAGTCGATTCACATTTTAAGCAGAAATGAGTGTCATCAAAATCTGCGATCATTTTCTGAAAACGTGTACTTTGGTGAGTATTTTCTTGTGCTATTGCTGTTCATTGAATTATATGCTAATAATATAAATAAAAAATCTGAATTCCTGAGATTGTCACAAAAATTGCGCTATTTCAGAGATTACGAGCATGATTGCAGTCAAACTACGAAGTTACTATTTACATGCACCAGAAGGCGGTCCATCAGTTGCAGTATTCGTGGGAGGTCAAACCAAAAAGTCAAAAGACAGATTTATCCTAGGCGACAGGAAAGTCACAGTTCATTTTTCAATAAAAACTTCCACAGGCTACTGTAATACTATTTACAAATCTTCTAGATTCCTCCTTAGAGGGTTGTTGATGGATCGAACTTGGTGACGTTTCGTCTGTTGCCCTCTTCAGAGCTTAACTGAAACTTACACCAATTCTACTCTGTACCTGCTTCTAGGTATGTGATATTCGTGGCCGGGGTATTTTGGTTTTAAAAAACTTCTCCCTTAGAACATAACACAAATTTAAAACACTACTGTATTTAAACTAAACAATTACAAAATTATTTTATAATAGTCAACTGGATTTTAACAAACAGATTTCAAATAAAAAAATCCGTTGTTCCTGCAGCGTGCCGGGCATGTATACGGTAGCTGGACTGTGGGCCTCGAAGAGTTCTAGAACGTTGAGGAATCACGCGCTTCTTAGTCAGCATTACTCAGCAGACAATGTAATACAGTACTAATGACTTTGAGGTTCAATAATAAGGTTAGATTGTTGTAAACAAACAGATTGAATTACTCCATATAACTTGTTGTGTGTTGCTTGAGGGGGCGGAGCTAAACGAGGGGCATGAGCGTTGTCTCGAATGACTGACTCCCATACTTATGAATGATATCGCAATTAAGATTTTTTGGTTCTTTATAGGTTTCTATAGATTCACGGATTTTTCGTTGGTAGAAGAACTGATTACATGCAAGAATTTTAGTTTTATCGAATTAAATTTCGTGTCCAGTTTTGTTTGTATCCTGGTATCTAAATGGAATAATGGGGAACGCATAGATGTTCCCGGCGTTTATTCATAAATTTGACAGTTATAAGAAAAATATGTTCCAGATGTCCAAGATGCATGTAATCAGTTCTTCTACCAACGAAAATTCCGTGAATCTATAGAAACCTATAAGGTTGGATTCTTGAATTCTAATATTTCTGAAATAATATTGAGAGTTTCAGGAATAGGGAATTTAGTAAATAATATCCTGTTGATATTCTGGTTAGCTTTGTACCCTCTAACCCATGTTTTACCATTGAATTTTAAACTAATAATAACCTCCCATTCCTAGATCTTCTTATCTAACATTGTGTCGTTCTGTTTACAGAAAATCTACGCACATACAAAAGTCATCGGTTATCAACTGTCTTGTTTATAGAGCCGTAAAACGCAGCCCGAGTCACTGAGATATTAAGCTTTCCATCACAGAATACACTTTATCAAAACCTTTCAAAGACAAGGAGTCCGAACACAACCCCATATTTTCCACTGTTGTCTTTCCTTATATTCAAAACATCACTGACCACATATCAAAAGTTTTTAAAAAATATAATGTCAAAACCAGATTTACCACTTGTCCAAAAATTTCTCAACATCATGTAATGTTTGAGATATCAGGAGTTTACAGCTTTCTATGAATATACGGCAAAGAATACATTGGAGAGACCGGACGAAAAATATCAACTAGACTCAAAGAACATGAAAGAGTCTTAGGACTACGACAAATAAACTCATGAGCAGTTACTTAACACAATCACGAAAACTGATATGAAATTTTATTCCATAAAACTAATTCTTCAAAACCAACGAAAAATCCAAGATTCTATAGAAATCTATAAGCATCTTAACGACTCAGGTCTTTACGTTTCACCAATATGGGAATCAGTCATCCGAGACTATGTTCATGCCATCCTTAGCGATATATAAGCAGATACACAGTAGAATACGAGTCAATTTTAGTTTAGCTCTGAAGAAGCCAACAGGATGATTGACGAAACGTCAGCAAGTTCGGTTCATCAACAACTGACGTAGAAGATTTTTAAATAAGTCACAGTTAATCACAAGTGGAGTTAACGACATACTTCTTCATAATGGACAAAAAATTTAGCACTCCTGACGTTTGAGAGATTTATTTATTTATCCAAATAGTGACAAAATCTTAAACAAGAAATTCGCAGCTCGCTGTAACCATTTTTATCCTTTTCCATAATAATAACAGCCAAATGGAAAGTTGTTTTATTAATTTAGAGAAAACATATGAGATTCGAATGTTAGGATCCTACCTATAAAAACCACTTTAATTACGGGTTTGATTGGCCACGACCTGCGTACAACAGTGTTTAATAAAGGAATGAAGGAGTTTATCAACGTGTTGTATACTATACTTTTCTACCACCATTTTGTTTTGGGTGCATTTTTGCAAAACAGGACAACTGCAAACCCATGACTAAAGTATATAGCAAATGTCCGAAATAACTCGGAACCGTGGCAAACGAAGCTAATGTTTTAAAGTGACACTTTGCGCTTGATTGATAGGAGCATATAAACGTTGATAAACTTCTTCAGTCATTTATTTAATAAGCACCCGCTCTGCTCGTGCCAACTTGTGACTAAAGTGGCATTTAGACTTATTCAAAGGATTAAATTTAAACTTATTGCGTGGGAAGGACTAACAGGAATATTATTTAACTAGTCTGCTGAAGTCTTAAGTTGATATTTTTATGTAAGTAGAATAGGTATTGTTAAAACATAAAAAATTGAAAATATAGATGTCATGAAGCAACGAGATATATTGTAGAAGAAAAAAATCGATAGTCCAGAGGATTCCGAGAAACTCGGGAATTTAGTCATGTTAAAAATAAAATAGAAACACCATGACGGCTTTAAAAAACAATATTTTAAAAATAAATGGGAACAAGCTGGGTGCAAGCAAGAAATACAACAAAATTCAATCTCCCTGGTGCTAATATTTTTAACATTCTGAATAAACATTTTTTGAAGGTGGGTCGAAAAATAGAGGAGACCGTACATTCTGAAATCCAAGGATTGACATCCAATTGATCAAAATAGTAGAGGAGAGAGATATTTTTAATGAGAGATATTTTTATTGATATCCTTTATTAGTAAGTAAATTAGGTTTTCCAATATTTTGCATTTGCAGACAATTTGGTACTACTTTAATTGCAGTGAGCGGGAGGGAGCTGGCACTCCAGGTAAATAGAGATTTGGGGATTTACAGTCCCTGTTTATTGAGTTTAATGATTAATATAAAAGTTACTAAATGCATACTTTTTAAACAAAAATAAAAATAATAATTTATTGAACCAATATCAATAAAAATCAATAACATAGAACAGAAAATTAGATATGTAAGAATAATAATAGGATTTAAATTGGACTGAGCATATTTACACACATTTACACAAAAAATGAGCTCATGCTGTCAGTGCCATTATTCACGTGCCGCGATTAATCTAATTGTGCGTTTTAGAATACATAAATGTCTACAAACCATTTTTCTTACTCGGCCTAAGGATCTGATTCCTGTATGGGGAAAGTGTGGTGCAACTAGTTATAAGTCTATGCAAATACTACCAAACAAAATATTAAAAGTTCTCTACACGGCAGGGTGTCCCACGGTTAACACAAAAATCTAACTAAAATCTTATCTTTGTGAGAGATTCATATTCACATTCATTCATACTATAATACTAGAGCGCAGTCCAATATTTATAAAGTCAATGTTAGAACTGATAATTTTTCCGATTTTCTGAGTTAAATCAATTTTGATTTATCGTAGAGTAGATTCGTTAAGATGTTTAAATCACACCTTATTTGAATAATTCTAAAAATGTTTAAACATATTTAAAAAAAATGTGATAGCGTTTTAGTTTCTACGCATCTCATGCGATTAATATTGTCATAAAGTTTGGGTTATACGTTTCTATACGTAAAACTACTTGTTACAATTTCTGGTTACGGGATGAACAATATCAATAGTATGGATCTGTGGTTGATATATTTACCAGTCCTTGTCTCTGGCTTACTTAAATAATTAAAATTACAAATTAGAAATACTTTTTCAAAAAAGAAAAACAAAAACAAATTTTAATTTTAAAAATATTGCTTATATAAATAAGTTTATACTATTAAAAGAACCACAGTTCACAAAAAAAATTCGTAGTTCGTAATAAATATAAGCAATCAAAAATTGTAAAATTGAAATCCCCTTTGAAACGTGCGGTCATTGGCTGTGACTAGTTGTGACGTCAATGCGCGCCAGTCGGACGGTAGCATTTTTAATTTTAGTCTTGATCCAGTCGCTTGCTTTTGTTATCTTGAAAATTTTGAAAATGACCGAAGCCAATCTCATAATTTACCTTTAGTGGATATGTTTATGGTGACATCTTACATACAAAACACCGAAAGTTTTTCTTTTGCTGGAGTTTGCGGTGTTAAAGCTAAAAGGTATGTTCATTAAAAAATTAGCGATTAGTGTTAAAAAAAAGTAAATTATTCAACAAAAAAAAAACAAAAAGGAAACCCAAATACTGATTTTAAAGTATATTGGCATCAATAACTAAACCATTTTATCTAGATCAGGAAGCCATTCCTATGGAGACTGCAATAAAATGGGTGCAACTTCACCGTGCAAAAATATTTGCGCGGTTAAGGCTAAAGTGACACCCGCACATTATGTTAACAAAAAATAACAGCTTTTATTTTCTGGTAGACGAATAAAAAGTTTACCTGGCGTTTTACGGGTTGTAAAGCAAACCAAGCGCAAATACAAACTGTCGTCCATTAAATACAAACACACCTTATACGAACCAAAAATAAACGTAAATAATATAATTTTCGGCCTATAACCTGAGAATAACACTATAACATGTCGCCGTATCGATCGAAAAGCAGCGGTATGACGTCACGATCATTCCCGCGCGTTTAGTGTCGTTTAAAAGGAAAAGCCTAGTAC